CCAGAGAGTCCTGCATTTTCGAGGTTCAACCTGTAGTCACCTTCAAGGCAGACACACTGAGAAACAACTTAAACATCATAATTTTGACTCCTTCCGTATCTATCCTTTTCCCCACCTACAGCGCAATATTTCTTCTTACCGCAGTCTGTGGCCTATCTCCTACTCTCTGTAAACCCTGGCCTGTATGTATATTCAGACCAGCTTTCTGCTTGCATCAGCATTCATTACGTACCATTTTCCCAGCTTTTGTGGCCATTAATCACTGAGTTTTGATCGCGGGAACTAATTTTGCTTTTACACTATATTCCTGCAGGATGATTCTGAAAATTGAGGTTCTCTTTGTGAATAACTTTAAAAAAAAACAAAAAACAAAAAACAAACAATGTCCAGTCCTAGGCATTAGAAGAGAGTAACTGGTATTACATTCAGATTTGGGGCTCCAAGACAAGTCTGAGTTTGTACACCCCAGACCTTCAGACAAGCTCAGGTCCACAGTTTGTCGCTTATTCCTGCATCTGCTACAGTTTCACAAGTTTCCTTCTTGTTTCAGGGAGTCTGAATTTTCTATTTCTCACTTCCAAAAAATTTAACTAGGCTGAATAAACTTGGGGAGGGGGATTTTCCTTTTGCTTGCACCAGTGAAAAATATTAGTGGACTTACGCCTGCTTGATATCAGCGTGAGTCAGAGGAGAACAAGGCCTACTAATAGGTGCATAGATCCATTAGGACAGATTCTTAGCAGGGTCGGGGCAATGTAAACATTTCATTTTAAAATGCCAGATGTTGTGCTGGTTGCTCTTTACACAACATGAAGAATATGGAGAAACTACAGCTGGCTCCCAAATAACCATATTTACTAACAACAGACAAAAAATGCAAGGCCCAGCTCTAACTAGGCCCCTACCAAATACATGGCCCATTATGGCCAATTTCGCAGCCATACAATTTGAAAATTGATACATTTCATGTTTTCTTCTGTATAAACTAGGGACATCAATGTGTAAACGACTACACACATGCCTGGGCTTATTGGTTAATCCTCTCGACTACACACATTTGCCCCCCTCCTTGTCGCCTCTGTATCAGAGGCAGCAAGGGAAGGGAGACAGGAGCTGATGCCCACCCCACTCCTGTGTTTCTGTCTCTGATAGAGAGGCAGCAGCGCGGAGGGTGAGCAGGGCAGGCAGGAGTAGATATGCATTTATGCTGGCTCTCTGTGCGAGCCGGCTCCACAGACCCACCTGCTCCACCTTACTGTCTCCTACTGAGCTCCCCATTGACAGAGGCTGCTCCGGCATCCCACGGAGCAGCCTCTGTCCACAATGAGCCTGAGCCCATCATGGACAGAGGCTGCTCCATGGCAGAACCCCCTGTCTGTGGGGGTCTGAGCTCCCTCTGGACAGGGGCCGTTGCCACAGGGCAGGCTCTGTCCATGGGGAGCTCGGGCCCCTCCCCAACAAGGACAACAGGTGGGGGCCAGTCTGCATGGGGAGCTGGTTTTTACACCGGCTCATCTAGCAGACAGCTCCACCTCCCCCCCCGCGCTGCTGCCTCTGATAAAGAGGCAGCAGCATGGGGTAGCAAGAGGCTCCCTGGGAGTGGGTCCAGGAGTGCACAGGCTGCCTGCCCCACCTCCAGGGTCTATCAAATAGTCATGTAACTGCTAAAATTTGATGCAGTCACACAACTATTCAATTACATGCTAGCTAACATCCCTAGTTTAAACCTGAAATTTCACGATGGTGTAACTGTGGGATCCTGCCCCACACGGAGATTGGGGTCGTGGGATTGTCACCCTCACTTCTGTGCTGCTTTCAGAGCTGGTCTCTAGAGATAGCAAGCACAGAGCTTCCTGCAGCAGGAGGTTCCAAGAGGCAGAGGTGGGTCTGGTTTGCTCTCCCCCTCCCACACTGCCAGAGCAGTTTGCAAGGAAGGGGGGGAACAGACCAGACAGGTCCTGTTCTTCCCCTGCCCTGGCCAGTCAGAGGGAGGAAGCCCCTTTTGAAGAAACAACACAGGGAAGATAGGATCCAACTCCACAAATCTCCTGCAACTGCAGGAACCTCAAGATTCTGCCCAGTCTCAGACAATGTCCTGTCCTTCCCCTGCCCAGTTGGAGGCGGAAAGTCCCCTTTGACGGGGTGCACCTATGAACAAGGAGATTTCACGGGAAAGGGCTTATTTCATGGTCCACGAGGATTTTGTCATGGCTGTGAAACTGGTAGGGCCCTAGCTATAACCATTCTGACTGGTTTCTGGCAGTTTCTAGAACATGGCATGGCAAGCATCGCAAGAGTAAACCGGACATTGGCAATATGATCCGTGGTCAGACCCCATCTGGCAGTTCTTGTGTAACTATTTAAAAGGCTCCCATCTAATTCACAAATCAAAGTCCACGAAAAATGAGAGCCTGATTCTTCTCTTGTACCAATTTTGGATGGGTGCAATTCTATTCATCTCAGTTACGTTACTCCTGATGATGTGCACAAGGCTGAGTTAAAGGAGCATCAAGCTCAGGATCTAGTGGGAGATGTAACCTAGTAGCCCCTCAGTGAATTATCCTTGGGGAGACTGCTCAGAGCAGGCTGGCAGGAGGAGGAGAACCACATCAGATAGGAAATGGCTCAGGGAAAAGCA